GAATTGGTACACTGCTACCATTTTTGTATATTTTTGGTTTCCAGTTCGTGTACTTCTTTGAGCTATGAAATAGTTGGTCCATTAATCTTGTGCTTTGTGCTTTAATGTTACTTTAAAGTTTTGTGGGTTAAAGACTCGAAAGGAGCAAATAGTCAAAGATTCAGAGCACAAATTTTTCATGTAATGAAACTAGTTCATAGTTTTTCCCTTTTTACTTGTAAAATGTATTTTTTGATTGTTTTTCGGTTTTGTCTTATTGAGTGCCTTTTTTAGTGCCTTCTTTTGCCTTTTTTGTGATTTCTAGTGCCATTTCCTGCCTATTTCGCTATTTTATTTTAAATTTTCTAGCCTAAATATTTCGCTGTTTCGTTTGCCTTTTTATAGGTTTTTAGATCCTAAAAATCCGTTCCCTGGTAATGTATATATATATAAGATGTCTCTTAAGCAACCTGAAGTCAATTTTCAAAAATTCAAGCTAGCGAATCCATTATGGCGCCCAAGACTAGTTTTTGAAAATTCAAAATACAAAATCCAAAGTGGCGTCCGAGATTTAAACAAATTATTGAATTTTCGTGAAATTTGGTAATTGGAATAAGAAAACTGAAGTTTTGGAAATGATGAATTTCGTTTAAAAAAAAAAAAATCTTAAGAAAACTATGGGGGCCAAGGTCAAATTGTTTGGGCTGAATATATAGCAGACGTCCCCAACAATCCCCTATTTATAAATATAATTACTGTTATTATTTCATAATTTGATTATAAATTCATTTTAAATATGTTCCCTGGAATACAATAAATCAATAATTTTGTTGAATAAATAAATATTTATATTATACTACTCAACTGAAAATTACAGTTTATTTGACAGTTGTCAACGGAAAAAGTTTAAATGTGATATATTTAGAACTCAAGCTCAGTGAGCCTTAAAGCCTAGTATGTTTAATTCTTGGGAAATTTTCCTTATTTCTAGAGAAATTGACAGCCCATTCGACAGATTTGATGTAAAATTCGTGACTCGTGTGTCTATCACCTTTATCAGTAGCATTTAAAAAAATATTTTCTTACTTTTAGAAAAATGAACAGTCCGTTTGACAGCCATCAACTCTTAAAGTTTTAATTCGACATAAAATTTGTGAGTAGCGTGCCTAAAAACTTTATCAGTGGAATTTTTAAAAATATTATCTTATTTTTAGAAAAAATAGACAGTCGATTTGACAGCTGTCAATCCTCAAAGTTTTAATTTGATATTTAATTCGTGACTAGCATGCCTAAAGCCCTACAAGTGGTATTTTCAAATAGATTTTCTTAATTTAAGAGAAATTAGCAGTTAATTTGACAGCTGTCAAGTGTTAAACAATACATTTTATGGCATGCTCGGATTAAGAATTACAAAAATATCACGATCCTGTAGTTTTTTATAATCGTAACAGCCCTTCTAATTTTTCGCGTAAACATGGCTTCTCCGACCAAGGGCGTAGCCAGGTAGGGAAAGCTACAAAACGAAGGAGAAATATTCAAATATCAATAAACAATTTCTCTTGCGTTAAATCTTGTTGTGAATGACTTAAACGAGGTTCCAGAAATAAGAAATACTATTTCTACCCTAAAAGATATGATAAATTTTTTTTTCGCGAATCAACGACACGCAAGAATTGTGCTTCTAATAAATATATCACGTTTGCGTGAAACAAGATGGCCCGAAATATATAGCTACACCTGTATTCAACTAATTCAAAATGTTATTGTTTGGAGATTATGTTTATTTCTTTATTTGTAATAATTTTCATTTAAAATATAAATCAATCTGTAACAGAAACCACAATAATAAAAGTTTCAAAGCTTACAAAAAATAATTAAGCTTCAAAAAGTTGTCATCAAAATTTCCAAATTGTTAATCAGAATATTTAGAAAATTTTCGGGTACGCAGTTCTGTAGCTCATTCAATTGTAGTCTAAGAAAGTGCAAGTCTCCAGTCTAAAAATTACCGTTGATTTTTTAAAAATTTTAAAATTTTTATCATGTGTTATATGGAAGAAAATGCGCAACACTGTTCACAAAACAAATTCTAAAAAATCAACGGTAATTTTTAACGTCTTGAGACTTGCACTTTCTTAGACTACAACGGAATGGGCTACAGAACTGCGTACCCGAACATTTTCTAAATATTCTGATTACAAATTTGAAAATTTTGAAGTTTGATTAATTTTTTTTGCAATTTTTGCAAGCTTTGAAACTTTTAATATTGTGGTTTCTGTTACAGATTGAGGTATACTTTAAAGAAAATTATTAATAAAATAATAAACATAATTTCCAAACAATATCATTTTGAATTTCGTTTCTAATTAGTTGAACGCAGGTGTATCTGGAAATTTCAGAAAATTTTCCTGAAGTTGTGGAAGCTTTAGAAAAGTTGTCAATTCAGGGAAACTTTTCCACAAGAATGTCTGCGTATCAATTGTGTGCATCTATAACATATCCGATGTTCATCATTGCTTTAATGACAAGTGCTAAATATTAAACGTTGCTGGAACCTACAGAAAACGTTTTGAAAATGAAGACAATAACTAGACCTCATTTTGGAGGTAGTTGGGAATGATCGCAAGAATGCAGAAGGAGTCACTACGCCGATGCAGGAGTTGAAATTTCACTACCACGTTTGGCAGGTAAACAAAAAAGCAGAAGTAACCCCCATCGGTCAATGAAAATGAGTACTGTCGACGGTCTATAATAAAACCGTATCGATTCGCTAAAGTCCTCTTTACAACTACGCTTTTCTAATGAAAATACTCCAGCTTTTTCGCTGTCTCCATTTCACCCATTGTTACGGTGACCATATTTATGGGAGCCGAATACGGGACAATAAATAATTTTGAACATTTTTTCCACAAAAACTTATTGATCTTAAAGCCTTCTTCAATAATCCTAGATGTATTAGCCTTGAAATAGCATCCTTGTAGTAACATCACAAATTTGTAGGAAATTTTCCCCGAGATTTTTACCCACAAAATTAAAAAGAAACCTTAAATTTAAGTACAATAAAGTGTGATGTTGAAGTCGCTAAAACTTTCCGTTAATTTTTGACCATTTTTTTTTTGTTGTTGACGATGTTGAGCATCTTTTTCACACAACGTAGGTAAGTATGGCTGACTTCCAAAACGTCAATTGCTTTGCATACGTACAAAGTATAACATAACGTCGAACTACAAAATATTGACAATGTATACTGTTCCAAAACATAAGTTATCGAAACGCATCGCCCGAGCATACTTTGAACTGCTATCAAATTATAACTTTATTACATGGCAGTTGAGAAGTGCATTCATTAATTTAATGAAGGAAATTTTTGGACTTCAGCAGCACATAGCACGAATTTAGGCGCCTGGTGTTAGCAATCGCACTTAAACAGTATTATATGGTTTTGTTAGGAAAAGAGCTTTCTTTACTTTCATAAAGAATAATAAACGTTAAATAAACTAAGGAAAAATAGCCAAACTTTGCTGAAATGTCGAGTCCTAGCTTCTAGCCTCGAATCGAAACACAGGCATTCAGATCACTTAAAACTCGTTCATAGGCTGGCCTTTTTAATGAGATGTTAAGGCATCGAAACACCGAATACGGGACAAATACAGGACATTAAAAGAAATACAGAACATTTGGCGTCCCGTATAAAATAAATAAATTGCCAGGACAACGGGTCCAAAAAGAGGACTGTCCCGTATAATACAGGACGGATGGTCACCGTACCCATTGTATACGATTAAAGCTCTAAAGCGGTTAAGCGGCCGTCGGTTAGCCGCTGTTAAAATTAAAACTCACAAAGGCGTATGGAAGGCTCATAATTGCGGCGGAAGCGTTTTACCGCCGACTTTTTCGGGTGATTTAAATTTTTTTTCTATTTTCACCGCCCAGCTGGGACGGCACAATGTTGATTGAGTGTTGATTGTGTTGAGTGTGTTTACTTTAACAGATTTCACTGCTGCAACTGTTCAGCTCTTCACTTACTGGTGAGACTGTGGTATGTAGCAAGAGCTGTCAAAAGTTAAAATATTCTAAATGCACTAAACTGGACACAATATGTTGCTGTGGTTGTGGTGCATTATTGCTCATGTAGCTGATGTAGCTAGCGAAATAGCTTGTGGCTGTGGTACTACTTTCTGGTTAGCCAGTTACCGCCGTCCGCTGTTGGGTAGAGCTTAAATGTTCCAGTAAAAATGTACAAAAGAACGCGAAGCATTTTAAACAGATCTATGATCTAGATATGGGTAGTAAACTCATTATTTGGTACATCATCAGATCCTGGATACGCCCTTGTCTCCGACTACTGTGCGACCTTGTATTTTGTATGGAAAACACGACTTCGGTTCTCCGTCGTTTCGAGTTCACACAAACGACTTCACCAAACCGACGTCGTACCCACTTCGATTCGATGAGAAAAAACGAGGTCGGAACGATGTTGCGGTTGGTATGGAAACAACGACTTCGTTTCGACGTCGTTTGCAGTTCACCCAAACAACTTCACCAGACCGACGTCGATTCCAACTCGTCCTCGCTCTGTGGCAAATTGGGTGTATATATGTATATTTTCACTTACAGTCACACAAGCTATAAAAATTTAAATTTCTTATACCAACACACGTGTATAATGCATGTTCTATGTATATAAACGTGGCCCTATGGTTATGCTTTTATATTTTTAAAAACAGAGCAAAAATTCTGACTTTAGTAAACAACGCTGAATTGAACTGGCATAAAATGTAAGTATATATATATATATATGTATGTATACCATTCACTCATTCATGTGCTGTGAATTAGAAAAATTTAATTACTCAACAGAAGGTAATATATGTAACAAATAATGTCTAATAATTAGCGAAAGAGTTAAAAAAATTTAATTAAGATATATTAATGCTATCTACTTTGTTGCTTATCAATCAAAAAAATCAAAAACAAATCTGCACTATGGCATGTACTTATGTTAATTGAATGGTTTCGTATACCTTGAGCACCTTTGATCCACATTTGAAAACACAGCATATTGACATATTTTAGGTTGAGTGGTTTTAAATTTGTTCGTGTTTTTTTTTTAATTTGCATAATGTGAAAATCATCGTTTTAGAAGTAGAAGAGGCAATGGAAAAGTATTTGAGAGTTAATACAAAAAATTAGAAAGCATAATAGTTTATGTATATTTTTATTGCTATGTTCAATTTTCTCATGGAAATTAAAATTCATTTATACAACTAGAACAAAGAATTTGTTCAATTTTAATACAAAATAATATTGACAGTTGTATGCAAATATGGAATGTTTTTAGAGAATGAGAGTAAATTAATAGTTTTAACAGAAGGATAATCTGTATAGATACAAACATTAAATGAACACGACACGATTTTTACAATAAACGAGAATATATACTTATCGATTTGTTTATTTACGCTTGTATGTGTGTTAGTGTACATTTACTAATACGGTTGTATGTACGTATATAAAGACGTTTATGTGATAAATGCGTATAAGTATATATACAGATAGATCAATGTGCACGCATATGTACATACATTTGTCCATAAATACCCACTTCATTCCGATATACTTTCAGAAATAAAGTATTTTAAATTGGTTATTATTGAGTTACTCAAAATTCTTGGGTAACAGATGAAAATCAAAGGTAACTTTATATCTAAATAGTTCCACGATCGAAATCAATACCGTCAGAGGCAGCTTTGCTTGGGTCAAAGTGGCCAACTCGCGTAATATTTCCTGTTTGTTATTGCGAAATGAAAGCTGTTTGTAGTGTAATTATCATATTCAGGGCTATCACTGAATCCATCGAAACCTACGAAAGTGCTATCACTGAGTCCGAATAGTTACGAACTTAAATTCGAAATTCTTACAGAGCCTTCATTGAATCCGCTCATAACGAAGAGTTGTAGAGCTAGTCTACGACGAGTCTAAAAGCTCAGTTAGTCTAGACTTAACTTGAATTAACTTACCCTAAGAAATCATCAATGATTACTCAACGCGTCAACTTAAGCCAAGAACGGAAATATTTTGTTTTTGTATTTTCTCTTTCAACTGTTCAACAGTTCGCCGCCTAAAATGCTACATCAAAAAAAATCATGCAAACAAAAATGTTTGCTTTAATTTATTTTTAAGAAATACAAAAACGAGAGTCTGGTAACCCTGATTCTCTCACCGCTCTCAATTTCCGTAAGGCCGTAACTTAAGAACCTAATATCTACAGGTTTTAAGTCTCTTACGATAAGTTAAGTTTTAACTAACCGCCAACAAAGTTTCTCATATAACAGGTTGGGTAAAAAAATAAGGTAAGTTAAGTTACGGAAATTAAGTCTAGACTAATTTGCTGTCGGAAAAAAATTTAGGATCGGTGAATCTTAAAAATAATGCAAACAGCTTCATCATTGTTAATGATAAATATTTATTATACTCCAAATTCGCTATAGTTTCATATTATTCCATATAATTGTGTAAATGTAGACGTAAAATACCAATGGCATGCATTTATCTTGTAGACGCTATTTATTAAATGAATATTTTTTATGAAGCGAGGAAATATTAGTTTAACAACAATTTAGTAGAAAAGAAACCTAAATACTTCAATATCTTAAAAATTAATTTATTTGTTTTTGGTTTAGGGCCTTTGAATTATAAACTATGATAATTTTTTATTTATTAAGTTCGAAACTCGGAAAATACATAAAATTGCAGTTTCAGTTTTATTCATTTTAATTATCGAATGAGGTCGAAATATCGACAATAAAATTAATGAAACTAAAACCGGAGTTTTATGTATTTGCTGGGACTCGAGCTCAATAAATAAAAAATACCATAGTTTAAAAATTAATTTAAATATAAAAGCTTATTAACCTTTTATTTTTAATATTTCTATTGAACTTTGTACCACGATGTTTATTAGGAAAAATTGAAAAAGCAACAAAGTCTAAGCGGTAGAAGTTCTAGCAGGTATTTCATAGATCACCACACCTCCTCATCAGACTTCTTTTTTTCTAGACTTCCGCAGGGATCGAACTTGCGTAATCGATGTTCAAAGTCAGAAGCGTTAACCACTGAGCTATGTACATCCCGTAAACTCTTGTTGCTAAGTCATTTTCCTTATTCAACCAACTACTATCAAGTGCAGCTGATTTGCCGCTATTTAAACTCGACAGCGTGGTTGTTGTCATTCTATACATCCATTTGCTTATTTGCTTTTTTGTATAGTTTCAGGCAGGCTCTTCCTAAAATATGTATTTATCAATGTTATTGTGGCTTATCAACATTTTATTTTTAATATTTTTATTGAGCTTTGTACCATGATTGTTTATTAGGAAAACTTGAAAAAGCAACAAAGCCGTAAGCGGAAGAAGTTATAGCAGCTATTTCGGAGATCAATAAAAATATTAAAAATAAAATGTTAATAAGCCACAATAACATTGACAAATACATAGTTTAGGAAGAGCCTGCCT